TACTTCATCCTCATTCAGTGTTACTTTTCTATAACCAGAGATTACAAGTATCTACTATCTAGAGAGAGAGTGAATTCTCCTCCCACCTACCCTTCCTTGGTACAACTAATAAACATTACTTTCTGTTTATTTACCTATTCATACCATTTCATAAAAGTCAGAACATACACTATCTGTTGTTGTTTTTTTAAATCATTAACTTATTTCATTCAACATAATATCATCCATGAGGTAAGATGTGTTGGGAATTAATTTGCTACACTTAACTTTTATAGTTTTGTATGGTTTGTATTTTGAGTTGTGTATTGGTGAGTGTGTATTCATTGCCTTGCTTCCACTAAATAGGAATTCTGCCATGATCTGAAGTGCTGTCATGGTAAGTGAATCTGGATTCTGTGTCCATCCAACTCTGCCTGGGTTTGTATTAGCCTGTTTTCCAGACAAGGAAACCAAGACTCAGATGGATGTAGAGACTTTCTCAAAGCTGCAGAACTAGTAAAAGTTGATATTGGGATTTAAATGTGTGACTCTTCAACCCAGTTATTCCTTTAAGAGGTACTATAGCACTTTAATCTACACAGTCTATATCAGTGATCATGATTATAACATTCTTGTTTGGAATAATCAAGTACCACAGTTTTTAAAATGATAAATTCTTATTTAAATAAATAAGACTGAATTGAAGGTTCTCTCTAAAATAATGTTACTGTCCCAAGCATTCAGGTGCCCATTGCAAGGAAAATTGGGTAGAACTCACTGTCTGCTTGTGGCTTAAGGAGAAATATATCTTGGACGCTTTAGCTGCTAGGTGCTGCCTTGGACGTCTGTCTCTAAATCTGCACTAGGGGTGCCCGATTTAGAAAAATGGGGGAGAAAGTACAGGATACCTAGTTATATTGGAATTTCAGATATATATATATACAACAAATACCTTTTTAGTGTTTTTACAGTACAAATACATATGACATCCTTGTGCTAAAATTGTTCCCTGTTTGTCTGAAATTCAAACTTTACTCAGTTTTCTGTATTTAATCTGGCAGAGTCCTGACCTCTCCCTCCTTGAGCTTCCCTAGCCTTGACAGTCTGACCCTTTGTGGTTCCTGAGTCACCGCTTAGGCTTTCCCAAATGAGAGTCTTATCTTTAAGATTGGGAGCTCCCTGAGATTGCCCTTCAATTTGTTGGAAGAGGAGCGGGAGAGTTGGGCATAAGCACAAACCCATACCCACGCAGCAAAGCTGGGGTAGCATTCCAGGGATATACTTCCCATTGGTGCTCAGTGATGTAACAGTTTTGTGGTTCCCTCTAGGCTGAACATAGTTGGTGTGTCCCTGGGTACATTCCCACAAAGTAGTGCATGCTTTGATGGCATGACTTTATGTTTGCATGTGTGTACGGAGGAGGGTACCTTTGTAGTCTATGCTGAAATGGGCTTTGGTGTCTCTGGTAAACTCACTGGTGGAGGGGGCAGTGCTAGTTGAAGATTTTGTCAGGTGTATACATGTGGGTTAGTGTGTGTGTAAGAGTGAGGGAATGTTGTGGCTTATCAACCATAAAAAATGGGCTGAAGAAAATCAGTGCAGGGCCTGACTGGGTGGAAAGGAAACGTGGTTTTTAGGAAGGGGCTTCTATAGGGCAAAGATGGGCTCAGCACCCCCCAGCACAAACTCTACCAGGGTCTAGGAAGGGCTCAGTAAGATTTAGGAAACCAAACTAAGCCAAGGGAAGCAAGGAAGTTCAACAAGAGCAGGATTGTGCAGAGTTGTGAATGCCAGGCCAAGAAATTCCCCTATTTTCTCATGGAGTCACAGATGGTTCTTGTGCCAGGTGTGCGACATGGCCTAAGGTGGATTTTCAAAAGGTTCATCCTACAAGAGTAATACCTGTAGCCAAAGGGACCACTGGAGGAAGTCAGGAGGAAATAGGAACATGTAGGCAGAGAGACAAAAGAAGTGGGTATATTGAAGAAGAAGAGGGAGAAAGCTTATATTTTACTCCTTTCCGTGGGACCTGGCCTGATTCTTGGATTAGGCTTAGGCTTCTGAACTGGAACTTTTGTTTATCAACCTGTAGGTAGCAGTTGGGAGTGTTGTTTCTTTTGCTAGCCACACTGAAGCACTTGTATACACCCCTACTCCTCTTGGTTCCCTCTTTTCCAGTTCTCCCTGGAGAATAGGGTTAAGAAAGGAGTGCAGGACAGGACTAGCTGGTGCCTGAAAGTCTGCCATTGACTTGATGTGTGACCTCAGGCAAATCACCACCCCTCTCTGTCTACATCTCTTAACTAAAAACTGGACTGACAGTCCTTATCCCACTCACCCTGAACTCCAGAGTGTCACAGGATATTTGTATTCATTCAGCCTCTTATTCTATAGAGCAGCTTGCCAGGAAATAGGGGAAAAGGACAGAGAGACCCATCTGTGGGCTCCAAGGTGGGGTAGGAGAGAAGGGAGCAGAGAGGTGACTGTGGATGGTGATGTGATCACCCCACCTCAGGACCAGCAGCAGAACAGACAAAGAAGATCCAGGTAGGGACCCTGTTGCCCTGTTACAGACTGCCCATGGAGGCCTGTCTGCTTTAGGGTATGGACACAGGGCCACATGGCTCCTCTAGGCTCAAGGGGGCAGGCAAGCAGTACCTAGGACCCTGGTACCTATATGCACATCTTGCAGGGCTTCTGCATGTCAACATGCCTGGCCTTATTCACTGGATCTCTGACCCTGTTAGCTACTGTCTGGGTTTTTCTTTCTCTACCCACTCTGTCTCTCTCAAACTATGTTTCTGCCTGTGCTGTCCTCCAGGTGATTCACCCTCCTCAACCCCACACCCAGGAGAGGGTAGAGAAGGGCAAGACCAGGTCAGTATGTGCTGAGAAGGGCAGCCGGGCTGAGAGGAATGCTTCCTCTCTCCCGGCTGGTATCCTGCTTACTCAGGTGGGAACGGAAGTGAGTAAACTGCACCCAAAGTAAGGAAACAGAGTTAGGGGGAGTGGTGCACAACCTGAGAGCTAGGACACCAGGTTCCCTCAGGTCTAGGAGGAGGACCATAGCTTGAGTCCTCTAGGGCCTGCCCTATTGGGCTGTGGCCAAGATGGGGCAGGGACCAGGGGAGTTGCTGGAACCCTTTGGGTTAGACTATTCCTTCCGTCCAGGACTGGGAAACCCAAAATCTTCTATGACTACTTCTGCCTGTGTTTGTGGACACATTAACACTGTGGCTGATTAGATCAGAAGGGGGTGGGTGACCTAGGGACACCATTGACATATTTGTTTCATGAGTATGACATGTCTTTGGTTGTGTGCCCATGTTTCTGACTTTATATTTTATACTGTTTTGCCCTTGTGTGAGGTTGTATATGATATGGTATAATTGACCTTGTGTAGCTATAGTGTAATCATGTTTGCAGGTGTGTGAAAACATTATGGTGTGTATGACACTGCAATTGACAGACACACTATAAATGATACTGTCTACCTTGTGATTCAGGGGGACCGTGTTTAAGGGGGTGTATAAGTGGGCATATATGTAGTTGGGTGATTGTTGTGTAAGGTTGTGTAAGGCTGAAGAGACATAATTGGCATTGTGTGACTATGCATGACCACATTTTCAGGTATGTGTGATATTGTGTGACAACATATGAGGTTTTGACTGCAAATATATGTGACAGTGTGTGACCACATTCTCAGGAGTATGGTGGCATGTGCATAGATGTGTGACTTTGAATAGTAGACTGGACCTATTCATGACTAGTCACATATGAAATGGTGTGTGATACAGAATAACTGCTGTGTGAGAGGCCATGTGACTTGCACAACGTAAGTGAAACTGTGTGTGCTGGTGGTATTTCTGGGAGCTCTTGACTACCACCAATACTTTTTATGGCTCCCTATTTCCTACACAGAATGGGTACCCAGCTCCTCACTCAAACCCTCATCTGACATCTATTTTGCTCCCTGCTCTGACCCCACCTGTCAGCTGAGACACCCTTCATAATTCCATGCCCAGCCAGCATTGCCTGGGCCTCACACTATTCCTCTTAGGGTGTGTCATTCTGGGGAGAAGGGGGAACTCATTGCCTCCTAGACTGAGTCTTCGCTCCCAAGTGTGGTCATCATCTCCCCAGGGCCAAAGATAGAGGGGTTTCGGGGTCCCACAGTGACAGAAGAGGGAAAATTAGTACAAAAAATCCACCTGCTTTCTGAATTTGCTCTTTTCAAGTTGTTCCTATGGCACACTGCCAGGCAATGCCAGCACTTGAACTCTGGGTGCTGGGAGTGTGGTGTGGAAGTGGAGGCGCATAGCACAAATTAGTAAGAAGCTGGGATTTTAAGGAGCAAAATTTTTGCTCAAGTACACTCAGCTGTGCCAAATTGCAACCAAAAAAGACCAGATACCCTTAGGGCTTTTGAAAGCAAGGGCAAAGACAAGTTTATGTTTAGCATCGCCATTGTGGCTGTGCAGGCAAGGTCTGTGAATACATTCACAGACTTTAGTGTGTTCGCTCTACCCACACCCTCACCTCAGCTTGGTTGAACTCCCTAGTAATAATGCTTATTCACATACATGGAATCAGTGTACTAATAGCAAAGATCTCTCACCTATTTGTGAAAACAGAGCAAACTCTAGCTCTGGACCTCGCTCTCTATCTGAGAACTGGGGTAGTGGCATCTCAGAAAAGCTATGCAGTCAGAGGGAGCTCAGGGAAACCCAGAACTCCAAATATCTGTTGAGACATGTAACTCCTCAGACCCTATAGACCAGGGGTTCTCAACCCGTGGGCTGAGATCCCTTTGGGGGTTGAACGACCCTTTCACAGGGGTCGCCCAATTCATAACAGTAGCAAAATTACAGTTATGAAGTAGCAACAAAAATAATTTTATTGTTGGGGGGGTCACCACAACATGAGGAACTATATTAATGGGTCATGGCATTAGGAAGGTTAAGAACCACTGCTATAGATTGAAATCAGTCACTTCACATTCAATTTCTCCCTTTCTGCAGGACTGTACGAGGGAAACCGTATTCTGGTTAAAAGTTTGTCCCTTGACCCAAGCCAGAGTCCTGAGTCTCATCCAGAAGGCCCCCAGTGGCTTCGCTCAGAACCAGGTCCCCCAACTGAGACTTCTAGTCAACGCCCTTCACCACTGAAGCGGGTGGCAGGCCCAAAGCCACAGGGTAAGTGGTTCCAGAGAAGGACAGAAAAATATAATAGCCCAACGAAGGACACAGTCTCTCCACCCACCCCCTAAACAAACAGACAAAACTCACTGCCATTGAGTCAAATCCAATTCATAGCAAATTTATAGGACAGGTTATATATAAATCCTTACAGAAATAGAAAGCCTCATTTTTCTCCCTCAGAGTTGCTGGTCGGTTCAAACTGCTGACGCTGCAGTTAGCAGCCCAATACATAACTCACTGTGCTACCAGGGCTTCTTAGGCAACAAACAGGGGAGGGGAGTTGGCTAATGGCAGAGAAAAGGGCTTGTTAGAAGATCAGCGAAGCACCATGTTCTACAGGACAATGCTACCTACCTAGGAGGTTGAGGGCTGTAATCTAGGGTTAATGTGTGCCCTGTGCCCCCTTGGATCAGGCTTGTGTGCCCACCTCAGACAGAGATACTAATGGGAGGTTGGTAGCCTGACTGTGACAGCCACCTCTAAACCGAGCTCATGCCATCTCTCTTTCTCATCTGTGTCTCCAGTCCCCCCGAAGCCCAGTTACCTGCAGATGCCCCGGATGCTCCCTCCATCAGAACCCATCCCCCCTCCACCATCACGCCCACTGCCTGCAGATCCCCGAGTGGCCAAGGGCCTGGCCCCTAGGGTGGAGGCTGGTCCCAGTTCAGCAGCAGTATCTTCACTGATTGAGAAATTTGAAAGGTAGGTCTTGTCCCCAAGGGACTTGTGTGGGTGAGGATGGGCCTGGGCCAGGAAGGTGACTGCAGGAGCTCACATTCGTCCTCATCTGTGTCCAACATCCATCCCAGAGAGCCTGTGATTGTGGCCTCGGATAGGCCAGGCCCTGGCCCCAGTCCAGTTCCCACAGAGCAAGCCATGTTGCCACCACCACCCATGCTGCAGTCCCAGCTCCCTGAGGGTGAGGCCTCCCGCTGTTTGTTCCTGCTGGCTCCTGGGCCCCGGGATGGTGAGAAGGTGCCCAACCGGGACAGTGGAATTGACAGCATCAGCTCACCATCCAACAGTGAGGAGACCTGCTTTGTCAGTGATGACGGGCCCCCCAATCACAGCCTCTGCCCTGGGCCCCCTGCCCTGGCCAGTGTGCCTGTTGCTTTGGCTGATTCCCACCGGCCTGCCTCCCAAGAGGTTGACAGTGACCTGGATGAGGAGGAGGAGGAGGAGGAGGAGGAGGAGGAGGAGGAGGAGGAGGAGGAGGAGGAGGAGGAGGAGGAGGATGATGAAATGGACAGAGAAATCCCAGTGTCCCCGATGGAGAGACAGGAGTCTGTGGAGGTACTGACTCATTTTTACCAAAAGGCACTGTAGGGAAATTGGGAGTCGTGCTTTCACACTTAGTTCTTCCTCTAGCTCAGTATTTCTTGAGATGCAAGATATTTTTATTTTTCCCCGTTAAGGCATTTAGCTTCCCTGGTCTTCTGACAATAAATACCAACAGCAAACTCTCATCTTCTCTTTCCATCATGGTGACCACCAAATTGATCACGCACAGTCCTAGATGCCCACTTCAGCAAAAGATGACTAGTACTAGCTGGGCCTCAATTTGTTCCATCTTACAGCTAAGCATCCTGGTTAAAGATCTCAAAAGATCTGTTCCAGCCAAAAAACCTTATGACTCAGCTATGTGACATTGAACAAGTCTCTTTCCTCCCTGATCTTCCACTGCAAACCTCTGTTTCCTTTTTGTAAAATAGAGGTATAATTAAACACAGTGCTTTCATACCTAGAGAGACTCCCTGACAGCTGGCAGAGAGGCACAGGAACAGGAAAAACTATAGAGTTGAAGGGTCTTGGCTACAAGGAGTCCTTGTTGCATCCTGGCAGTGCATTACTTCAGAAGGCATCCTTACACTTGAGTTAGGTCTCAGCCAGAGTACTTGCTCTGACAAAACCAAGCTCAAACGTAGGGCCTGAGGCCAGCGTCTGCTGGAATGGCAGGTATATGTCAACAAATAGAAAATTGGACCAACAAGCAATGAACGAGTTTTACACAGTTTTTATACTTTCTAGTTTTCCTTACACCCCAGGAACTTAGCAAGCCTTTCCTGGCAGTAAACTTAAAGGGTGAATAAATAGATAACTAACATGTATAGTATATTTAATCTGTAGTCTGCTATGTTTTATATGTATTAAAGCAGTTAATTGTCACAGCTATAAGCAGACAATAATAATAACAACAATAATAAGCTCTATTATTATCTTAGCTTATAGATGATGACACTTAAATACAGAGCATTTAAACAATTTATACAAGCTAGTGAATGACAGAGTAAGATAGGAACCCAGGGAGCTGGACTTTTCAGTTCAGAGATTTCACCATTATACTATGCTGAATTAATATAGAGAACAGATAAGTGAGTGCATGAGTGACTACATGATAAAGTGCATGTCATTAGAATTGAGGGGTAGTTCTATAATATACTTGGGAGTCAGGAATAAAGCTAGAGGGCTTATGAGCCTAGAGGTGGGAGGTCCAGGGTTATCTTGAGGTACCATCATGTTTGGAGTAGCATTTGAGCCATTTGGATAACTCTGAGAATAGGGGATGAGAGTTAGGGTGGAGGATGACAGATCAAGGGTCACCTCTTCTCCTTTCTAGTTGACTGTGCAACAGAAGGTGTTCCATATCGCCAACGAACTCCTACAAACTGAGAAGGCATACGTTTCCAGGCTTCATCTCCTGGATCAGGTGAATGGCTTCTCAGGGGCCCGAAGATGTGGTAGGTAGGTTCCAAGGAGAAAAATAAGGCGTGAGCCCAACTCTAACATTGAAACAAGAGTCTAGAGGTGGTAAGGCTCCTCTCTGAGCATGACTTCCATTCTGTTCCTGAGGTCAACTCCTATTATAATCCCAAGCTTGATCCTCATGCCAATCTTAATTCCTAACCCAAGAGATGATATATCAGCTCTGACTGACTCTGACCCTAATGCTGACTCTGACCTAGATCCAAAATTTACCCCTGGATATGAACTCAATCCTGAATTTCATTCAAATCTTGACTGTAAATCCACTAGAATGTCCGTTCCCTCAAGGCAGGGAATTTTGTCTGCCTTGATTACACTGCTTTATCCCAGCCTCTAGGACCATACCTGGCACACTCAGAAATAGTTGTTAAATGAATTACCTTAATTGTGATATTTTCTTTGGTCCTGAATCTAATTCTGACGTTGACCCTGGCTTCTCATTGTTCTAATGGATAATTCAAGGTCTCAAACTTGACAACCTGAAATCCAACCCCCTACATAACCCTAACTTCACCTCCTTTCTCCTCAATCTCAAGACCAGTGCTGATCCCAAAACTCAACAAAGTTTCCCATAACTTCAAGTCACCCCTTCCCTAGCCCAGCCCCAGACCCAGCTGAACTGAGTGTTCCTGCCCTGCCCCACAGGTATTTTGTGCCCGGCTGCTGGAAGAAGCTCGGAACCGCAGTTCTTTCCCGGCTGACGTTGTCCATGGCATCTTCTCTAACATCTGCTCCATCTATTGCTTCCACCAGCAGTTCCTGCTGCCAGAGCTAGAGAAGCGCATGGAGGAATGGTGAGGGACCCTAGGCCTAGATTGCCCACTCTCTTGCACACTTACTCACCAGGCCCAGATATGTGTGCAGCAGGTTATCCTCAACTGCCCTCTCTTCTTACTGTCTTTCACAAAAATAATCAGGTTAAGGCTCTGCTTTCTAGTACTCCAATTTTAATGTGGAACACAGACCAGGACTCAGATGATTACAGCAGAACATTGTTGTTAGTGTTGTTATTAGGTGGTGTTGAGTTGGTTTTAATTCATAGCAACGTATGTACAAATGAAACACTCCCCAGTCCTGAGCCATCTTCACAATTGTTGCTATGTTTGAGCTTGTTGCATCCACCGTGTCAATCTGTCTTGTTGAGGGTCTTCCTCTTTGTTGCCGACCCTCTACTTTATAATGTCCTTCAGGGACTGGTCCCTCCTGATAATATGTCCAAAGCATGTGAGACAAAATCTTGCCATCCTCACTTCTAAGGAGCTTTCTGGATATACTTCTTCTAAGACGGATTTGTTTGTTCTTCTGGCAGTCCATGGTATATTCAATATTCTTCACCAAAATCAAAATTCAAAGGCATAAATTCTTTTCTAGGCTTTCTAATTCATTGTCTAGCTTTTGCATGCATATAAGGCAATTGAAAATACCATGGCTTGGGCCTGGCACACTTACTCCTCAAGGTGACAGCTTTGCTTTTTAACACTTTAGAGATCTTTTACATCAGGCCATTTAATTTAATTTGTTGACTGTTACTTTGATGGAAAATGATTGTGGATCCAAGTAAGATGAATTCTTTGAGAGTTTCAAGATTACCCCCTTTATTACCTATTGGGCTTATTGCTTATTGATGTTGCTTATTGGGCTAGTTGTAAGGTGACATAGTGGGCTATGCATTGGCCAGCAGTTTGAAACCACTAGCCACTCTGCAGGAGAGAGATGAGGCTTTCTACTCCTGTAAAATGATAGAGTCTCAGAAACCTACAGGAACAGCTCTACCATTTGCTAGCTTTGTGATATTGAGCTAAGTTTCTGTACCTCAGTTTCTTCATCTATAAAACGGGGACCATAATAATAGCCTACCTTTCAGAATTATTTTAATAATTAAATGATAGATAGATGTAGAGAGCTTAGTATCTGGTATTTACTAGTTATTCAATTAATGTGAGATTTCTGTGTTTTTATCTGCTGTGATAGAGGTGGGAATGGGAAGCTGTGAGAATCCAGATAAATATGCCTAACCCACCTTGGGAATTGGATAATGGCTGAGGTGGAAGGGCAGGGTTCATAAGCAATCTCCTGGCCTCTAGGCTCTCCTCTTTTAACTCATCCTTTAGAACCTACACCACTCTCCAGAGGTTCTTTCTAAATAACAATCATACCATGCCACTTCCCTGCTTAAAATTATCTCCTTGCTTCCCACACCCACAGTATACAGGCTGTGCCTGTCTCATTACTCAGACTTATCAGTTGCTGCTCTGCCTTACTCATTTGCTTATAGTAATACCAAATTGTTTAGTTTCCTGCAAACACCTTGCTCTTTGTCACTTTGGAGGCTTTACTCATTCTGTTCTCTATACCTGGAAATCACTCTTAATTGCTTTTGACTGATTAGCCCCGGTTGATCCTTCAGGACCTACTGCAGGCCTCACCTCCTCCAGGAAGGCTGCATTGATCCCCAGGCCAGGTTAGATTCCTTCTTCTGGGCTTTTCTTGTCCTTATCTGGACACTAATTGGAAGGTGTCTGTGCCCTATCCTGTATCCCTAACAGATTGTTATATAAATAGGGCTGGAATCAGGCCTGGTCTGTGTGTCTCCCCACCAGATCATGAACCCTTAGGGCAGGACTGAGCCAGGTTGCTATGTATCCACAACATACTGTGTTCCCTGACAGCAGGCCTATTACCTGTGTCTCTCCAATCAGACTGTGACTTCCAAGGGCAGGACCAACCCTGGTCTCTGTATCTGTCTCTTTTATAAGACTATGATCCTCTTTGAGGTTGATTTCATTTCTATATCCCCAGTGTCACCTAGCACAAGGCTGGGCATGGAATCAATCTTCAATGAATTTAGTGGACCTTATAGTAAGTTCAGGCAAGTATTCCAGGACATATCTTTCCTGGTGCTTGAGCAGTGCAGAATTGGGACAGGTGGCAGCTCAGGTAGTGGTCTTGAGCCTCTTGGCCATCAGTTCCAAAGGAGCAGACTGGCTGAGAAGTGGGTTTCCAGGACAGAGGTGAGAGCAGCCTGCTCGGTGCTGGAGACCTGTGAGGCAGGATTTGGGGTGGGGGTTGGGGGACCAAAAGGATTGGCTGGACTACGTCAGCCCCTGTTTCACTCCAGGGACCGCTACCCACGCATTGGAGACATCTTGCAGAAGTTGGCACCCTTCCTCAAGATGTATGGAGAGTATGTGAAGAACTTTGACCGGGCTGTGGAGTTAGTCAACACCTGGACAGAGCGCTCTACCCAGTTTAAAGTCATCATTCATGAGGTGCAGGTAAGTGGGCAAGCCAGATGAGGTAAACTCAGGAAGAAAATGTCTATAAGGACCAAGTGGGGGCTCTTCATCCAGACCTGAGCCCCATTTTTCTTGTCTGTCACAGAAAGAGGAAGCCTGTGGCAACTTGACATTGCAGCATCACATGTTGGAGCCTGTGCAGCGCATCCCTCGCTATGAGCTGCTTCTCAAGGACTATCTTTTAAAGCTGCCTCATGGCTCCCCGGACAGCAAGGATGCCCAAAGTAAGTGTGTCCATTTATCTCTGAGTCCACACTGATAAGCTTAGGACAAAACATTGAGGTGGGTTAACTAGCAGGTTAACCACTGACTGACATCACTTCCTTGAGCCATGTGATTATGATTCTAGAATAGAATCTCTTAAGTGAGACCCCAACATGAACCCAAGCTGAGATCACTCCCTGCCTGAGTACTCAGACATAACATTCAGAAGGAGCTCTCCCCACCCCCAACTAGAACTCCACAGTCTGAACAGTGTGTCCAGAGTGACCCTCCACAAATAGAGCAATTAAGTCATTTGAGACCCAAATCTGACTCCCAGACTGGGCTCTGAATGAAATTGTACCAAGTCTAAAATAAAACTGAACCTGAACTTCTAGGATTGAGCTAGGTAGTCATAATCACCAGGTTAATAACCCAGACTGCTCCCTATGTTAGACAAGGTTGACTAAAGAGGGCAATGAATGTACAAATGTGCTTTACACAATTGATGTGTGTATGGATTGTGATAAGAGTTGTATGAGCCCCTAATAAAATGATTTTTAAAAGAGTAAAAAAAAAGAAACAAATCCAGAGACACTCATATATGTGTAAGAGAGAGCTTTATATAAAAGAGAACCATATACTGAGAAAACATCCCAGCCCAGTCCAGATGAAGTCCATAAGTCCAAGATTAGCCCATAAGTCTGAAACTAGTCTGTAAATCACTCTTCAGACTCACACAACCATATGCAATGATGCAGAATGCAGGAAGATCACAGGACAATGGGTGCAAAGTCTTGTGAATTTAATGGTGATGGACATATCTCTAAGGCTCTGGCTGTCACCAGCGTAACTTCATGTGGCTTGTCAACAGGAAGGTGAAGCAGAGAGAGTGTGTGTGGCCCGTTTCCAGGGAGAAAGAGAGGAAGTTTCCTGAATCCTCATGAAAAGTCCACGCACACAAGGAGGCATCATCAGGCTGTGACCTGATTGACAAGCTAGACTCCACCCCTAGACTGACTTACCAAGTTGACATGAAATTATGAAACTAACATACTCCCCCACTCAGCTTCCAGTGTGAGCCCTCTTTATTTAATCTCCATGGTTTAACTTCCCAGGAAAAAGTCTTGTTTCATCAAGCCCCTAATTTTCTGTCATCTAGATTTAGAACTCTACTTGTGTCCTCTAGTTACTACCATAATGAACTTACTTAAACAACCTCCAAATCTAATCAGAGCCCCACCATAGAATCAATCCACTATAACTGAACACCCTAGATTGTACCTCATATTCTCTATATTCCAGATTTGGGTCTTTAGGCTTAAGTGAGGGTCTTTTGACTAGTGAGGGTAGAATGAAATGGGATTGTAGAAAGGGGTAAGATTTTTGAATTCCAAAGGAGATGGAGTTTATGCTGAGTGCAATGGGAAGTCATGGAAAGGTTTTGATCTGGAATATAAGAGAAGCAAGGGTGGAAGCCAGGAGACCAATTAGAAGGCTTTTGCAATAATCCAGATGAAAGAAATTGGCGGGGGGTGGGGGGTGGGGGAGTTGGCTTGGACAAAGGTAGTAGCAGTGCAAGTGATAAGAAACCGTGGTATCTTGGTTATGTTATATTTAGAAGTAGCATTGGAAGGACTAAGATAGAGTTGGTTGTGGGGCTTTTGAGAAAGCATAAGAATGACTTCTACACTTTTGGCTGGTGATAATAATTACTGACATGAGCACAAGACCTTGATTTTGGACATGGTCAAAGTGAGCACTCAATCAGATTGTTAGATGAACCTAGAATTCCAGGGAAAAAGTTGTGGTCATCATTGGCACATAGAGAGTACCCAAAACCATGAAATTGGCCAAGAACAAGGCTGTGAGTGCAAATGGAGAAAGGCGACCCAGGACAAAGCCCAGGGAGGTGGAATCAGAAAAGAATTAAAAAACCAGAAAAGTGTAGCATCCTAAAAAAGAAGCCATGAAAAGGGGGAGTGGACAATGCTATTAAGATTTCTCAAACCGAGTCCTTCCCCCACCAATTGGGGCATCTTCCCCACCACATGGGCACTTTGCTATCAAACTCCTAGAAAGAGGTAGACCCCTACAAAGTTTGATCGCTGAGCTCTACAAACTAACAATCTATAGGCAAAAGTACTCTATTCTTCCCCCAAGACTGAGAAACCTCTGCGATGCCAGGATGGGCTACATAACCTAAACCTCTAGAAATAGTCTTCCAGAATGGGATGAGTCTCATGGACCCCAACCTGAGTCTCTAACCTCAGCCTCCTAACTGGACCTCCACAATGATTTCCCACTAGTAATGCAGAATATATAAGGTAAAGAACAACTGGGATTACCATTGTAAATGAGTGTTACTGAAAGTTTTACCAACCTTCATGGTTTGTGTAATTAGTATTGAGTCACTTAAATTTTGAATATGTACGAGTTGACAATTCATGCACTGTGGTCTAAAAAGATGTCCTTTACATATATATGTCCTCTACATTTCCTTGACTCAATAATGTTTTTTATTCTGTACTACAGACTAATGACACTATCAGTAACATTACTTTATGCGATGGGGATGATTTATAATGTACTCTAAATAAATGATAATGCTGCCTCAAAAGTGGACCAGGGATATATATATAACTTTAGATATATGAGTAGATTTTGAGCTCACACTTAATTGTAAGCCATATCCTGAGAACAATTAATTCTTATGATGTGGCCTTACTCAATGTTAGCCCTTATTGAGAGATCACTGAAGATATAGTCGCTGTAGCAAAGCATGGTGAAGAAATCAAATGGTGTCTGACTGTCTGGTGTCTTAAAGGTAAAAGTCGGCTACATTCATATGAAGAAGCACACCAGTCTATGTGATCCAAGGACTGTAAATAATAAAATCCAGGACTGGAGGAGGGAATGGTATTAGAACTTAAATTCTAAATACCCAGTTTAGAGAACACTCTGGAGACTAGTGGAAGCCACAAATCCATTTACAGGGTCTCTGTGTAGATTAAGTCTCCAGTGAATCCCTTCTGACCCTAATCCAGGGATGTGAATAACCTTAAAATCAGACAAAGAACATTGTAAACTGGGTTTTGGCAGCTGTAGTTAGGCTAATGTAACACCTTATCATTTGATCCCTCTTTGACCCATTTTAAATGTATTCATTTTAAAATATTTTTTGCTTGCTTTTTGATTGAGATATTTCTCTATTTTATTTGATCATTGGTGCTGGATTTTTGTCTTTGTTTTCTCTGTTTCTCTGTATAAAAAATATAGGATAGGTAAATCTATGGAGACAGTAATTGGATTAATATTTTCCTAGGGGCATGGAAGAAGTTGTGGGTGGGGGGAATGGGGAATCGGCAATGAGTACAAGAAAGAAGAAAATTCTAAACTTGATTGTGATGATGCATGCACAACTCTTCTGAATATGATTGAATTAGTTAGTTGTATGCTATGTAAATTATATCTCAACAACCTATTTTTAAATTATTTTATTGGCGGCTCGTATAATTCTTATCACAATCCATACATCCATCCATTGTGTCAAGCACAAATGTACATTTGCTGCCGTCATCATTCTCAAAACATTTGCCTTCTACTCTAGCTCCTAATATCAACTGTCCATTTCCCCTCCCTCCCCACTCCCCCCTCCCTCATGAACCCTTCATAATTCACAAATCATTATTGTTTTGTCATAAGTTACACTGTCCAATGTCTCCCCCTGCCCTCTTCTCTGCTGTCCATCCCCCAGGGAGCAGGCTATACATAGATTCTTGTAATCAGTTCCCCCTTTCTACCCCACATTCCCTCCACCCTCCAGGCATCGCCCCTCTCACCACTGGTCCTGAAGGAGTCATCTGTCCTGGATTCCCTGTGTTTCCAGTTGCTATCTGTACCAATGTACATCCTCTAGTCCAGCCAGATTTGTAAGGTAGAATTGGAATCATGATAGTGGTGGGGAGGAAGCATTCAAGAACTAGAGGAAAGTTATATGTTTCATCTTTGCTACCCTGCCCACAGTAAGGGGATGTCACTTTGCACTCACCCACCTTTACAATGATATGATTTTTTGTTCTTTGATGGTTGATACCTGCCTCAAAAGTGGACCAGCTTTTGACAGATCGTGGTCACACTGGCTGGTGTGCTTCTTCCATGTGGGCTTTGTTGCTTCTGAGCTAGATGGCCGCTTGTTTATCTTCAAGCCTTTAAGACCTCAGACACTATATCTTTTGATAGCCAGACACCATCAGCTTTCTTCATCACCTTTGCTTATGCACACGTTTGTCTTCAGTGATCTTATCAGGGAGGTGGGCACCCACTGATATGATTTTTAGTTCTTCGATGTCTGGTAACTGGTCCCTTCTACACCTCGTGGTCAGACAGGCTGGTGTGCTTCTTCCATGTGGGCTTTGACGCTTCTCAGCTAGATGGCCGCTTGTTTATCTTCAAGCCTTTAAGACCCCAGAGGCTATATCTTCAGCAATCATGTCAGGAAGATGTGCATCCTGGAATGCCAATTTAATAGAACAACGTGTTCTTGCATTGAGTAAGTGCTTGAGTGGAGGTCCAATGTCCATCTGCTGCCTTGATACTAAACATAGCTCTGTTTCCCCACACTCTTATATAAATATGTTTACACACGTACATTCCAGTCTTAAAACCTCTATAAATACCCTTTGTTCCCTAGTTCTTTCCTCTATTTCCTTTTGCTTTCCTCTTGTCCCACCATCATGCTAAGCCTTCATTTGGGTTTCAGGGACCTCCCTCGGTTACATTGCCCTTGTTGAATCCCTACCAGGCCTCTCACACCCTCCTTGCTACTGATTTTGGATCACTTGTTGCTCCCCTGTCCCTGGGTTGGTCAGCAGCACCTCCTTACCCCCGCCTCCCCTCTCCTGTGTCCCCCCGGAACTGCTGGTCCTGTTGTTTTCTCCTCCAGACTATTCATCCAGTCTATCTTATCTAGACAGATCTGTAGAGATAATAATATGCATTAAAAACCAAGCCATAGCAAGAT